CTTTCTCCAGCAAATCAGAATTCTACATTAATTCAATCTTTTCTAAAAAGCATGTAACAATAATATATTTCTGAGGAGCTTTCTAAACCATAATTCTGGCAAAAAAACTGAGTATTTTACTTTATTAAAAAGCCTTGAAATAGTCAAAAGGTGAAGGAAATATATTGGATGATTATGAAGAAAGGAACAGGTTATTTAAGAAATCGCTGAAATAGCAGTTCTTTTTAAATTGGCATACAAGCTCTTTTTAAAAGTGTGATGACAAGGGTAGCTTTTCTCTCCCTTTAAAGCTCTTTCTCACATACACCATTACTCTGGACTCCTGAGTAAAAAGGAGAAAGATTTTGCCAATGAAATAACTTTAAATTCTTGGTTTGTACTGCTTTTGCTTGAATTTTCCTTACTTTTCCTGGCCTGTTTAACAAGTTTGACTATTGTTCTAGGCATATGACACCGCGAAAACAGTTGTTAAGAGATGTCAGAGTTGGGTTCATGACATACAAGTAACAGGCCCCCACTGTGCTAATAACATACATTTCAAAAGAAAGGCAGTGATGTGAACTGAAAACTAACAAACAAGATCTACCTCACTAGGAAACGTGACCTCCTCCAAAGGCAGTGGAAGTGACAAGTGAGACTTCAATTGGGCGCCTTGCTTAGAATGATAAATATTGCAGTCTTATGCTTTCGGGGAAAGTCGAGTGAAAGGCTGAAAGATTTGAATATTGTCCAGTGTGTTACAATGTTTGTGGGACATGGTGATGCAGTCTGCCTCTTTTCCGTAAAAACATACTTTGAATCCCCACCGTGAAATAAGAGACCAGGCACAAGATGTGGAGAAATAAATGGGCCATTTATTGACCTAATTAGAAACTGATAAGTGAGCTAATTGACTAGTTGTGGGGGGAGCACTGCGACATAGGTAACGGTGTGAGGCCAGGTAGCTTTCTGGGACCACCTGCCAAACCAACCACTGGGCAAAACACCTGACCCCGGAGGCAATCCACATTAATGGCTTGCTGTCCCAGCTGGTCATTACTGGAAGGCTATCGGAGGGGACCCCCACCCCCAAACCATAAAGCCCTAAGGAAGGTATTTTGGGGAACCCACTAAGCCATGGAGCCTACAGAGATAAACCCAAAAGTCCCTTCACCCTAGAATGGAGGGGTGCCAAGGTGTATGCCGATCCAATCTCTCCCCCAACTTCCTGCCAGGAACACTTATTTATACAGCCCCACCCATTTAAATTCCTTACTCCTGTCAGTTTCAATATGGGGTAGGTGAAAAACCCTCCTCTCTGAGGAGGGAAAAAATTTCTACCCAGCCCTAGTGCGACCAGTACAACTCATATTGAACTGAGGGTGGATTGCACTGCTGGAAGGCCGAATGCAGAGGGGAGGGGGCTACCAGTAGGAAGGTTTCTAAAGCCCCTCCCATCTTCCACCTGGTGAGAATGCCAGCCAGAACCAACTCGTCATTCACAGGGGGATTCAAGTGCTCCCCTCCAGCCATCCGGTTGGCTCCTTCTGTCTGGAGGTGTGTATTTCCTTTGGAGGGCAACCACTAATTAAGAGTAGAGACATCACACTGGCAACAAAGATCCACATAGTTAAAGCAATGGTATTCCCCATAGTAACTTATGGATGCGAGAGCTGGACCATAAGGAAGGCTGAGTGAAGGAAGATAGACACTTTTGAATTGTGGTGCTGGAGGAAAATTCTGAGAGTGCCTTGGACCGCGAGAAGATCCAACCAGTCCATACTCCAGGAAACAATGCCTGACTGCTCACTGGATATTACATGCAAAGATGAAGTACTTTAGCCAAATAATGAGAAGACAGAAAAGCTTGGAGAAGATAATGATGCTGGGGAAGATGGAAGGAAAAGGGAAGAGGGACCAATGAAGGGCAAGATGGATGGATGTTATCCTTGAAGTGACTGGCTTGACCTTGAAGGAGCTGGGGATAACAATGACCGACATGGAGCTCTGATGTGGGCTGGACCATGAGGTCAAGAAGAGTCGGAAACAACTGAATGAATAAACAACAAACAAAAAACAAAAGAATGTAAGGAATGCTATGTGCCTTTTCCTGACTAGCAAGAAGAAACCCATGTGAACAAAACTGATGCTCCATTCAGTAACTCGTTTGCTTAAGCTTTCAAAGCCTGAGGGGAACTTAAAAACCCATCTTCACATTGCTGTTAATGAGAGGTTTCTCAGGGAGCATTGCTTAATTAACAGTACTTTGAAAGGGGAGTTTAGTGGAGAAGCTACATTTAGGAAACAATCTTGTAGGCACTTAACCTGCTAATTCAAATGGGACTTACTTCTGAATAGGCAAGTGCCGGACTGCACTAGCAGAGAAACAGGCTTGCTAGACTATAACTGAATTTCATCTATGCTTAGAAGTAATAAGTTACAAAAGTGAAGTTACTGGGGTAGTTGCTGATAAATTAAGTTACATTTCAGAAGTAATGTAACAAATAAGACTCTAAGAGCTGTTCAGCAATGGAATATCCTGCCTCGAAGTGTAACAGATGTTATTCTTTGGAGGCTCTTAAAAATAAGCTGGATAGCCATTTGTTGGGGGCAATTTGATTGTGTTTTTCCTGCATGGCAGTGCGTTGGACTAGATTTCCATGTGGTCTCTTCTGACTCTGATTCTAAGAGGAAAGAGGTTTTATTAGTGAAATGTTTGGTAATAGTTTTGGTTACTAAGGACCTCTTCACATGGGATGCCAGAGTTGCCATGGATCATGGTGAATCCGGCGGTGCCCATTGGGGGTGTGTGGAACCCATTGCCCCACGCCCTGCATCGCCCAGCTTACTGGCAAGCCAATCCCACAGAGGGAAGCATTGAACACATGGCTTCCCCTCATGACTTCTAGTATTGTCACTGCCATGGCATAACCCAGTTCCACACTTGTTATGTACGGAGACCCGCCAGAAGTTCTTCTGCGTTGTGTGATGGGAGTCAGCAAATCTATGGGTAAACTATGACTGAACTGGCTTATGCCACCAAAATAAGTCCCATCTGATGAGTTCACGTCTTTCACACTTTTTTATCTTTAATATTCTGTACAGTTTATAGTTAGTAATATAGATAGATTGATATCACGAGTAACATTTCTAGTATCAAATATTACTTTTGAGGGGCTTTAAGTCATAATAACTGTGGTGATAAATGGAATTGTTATAAATGCCATTTCTTAGGAAATAATAAAATACATATACTAAATCTCCATCTATTGTAACTGAAGGAACACTGGTTCTGGGTTCATCTATACTATAAAATTAATGGAGTTTGGCACCACTAACTGCCATGATTTGATGCTATGGAATCTTGGGAGTTAGGAGTTTGGTGAGGCACCACCTCCATTTGGCTAAGAAGGCTAAAGACCTTGTAAAACTACAATGCCCATGATTCTATAGCATCGGGCCATGGCAATTAAAGTAGTTCATAGATTCAGCCTCAGTTGTACGTGATTCTCCTTTATTGTCTGTGCTATTTTCAGTGAAGCCCCTGGTGGCGCAGTGGGTTAAACCCTTGTGCCGGCAGGACTGAAGACCAACAGATCACAGGTTTGAATCCAGGGAGAGCGCGGATGAGCTCCCTCTATCAGCTCCAGCTCCTCATGTGGGGACACAAGAGAAGCCTCCCACAAGGATGGTAAAAACATCAAAACATCCGAGCATCCCCTGGGCAACGACCTTACAGATGGCCAATTTTCTCACACCAGAAGCGACTTGCAGTTTCTCAAGTCACTCCTGACATAACAAAAAAGTGTGCTCATTGCAAAGCTACTACTGAGGGTCTTTCCGCACAGTCATATAACCCAGAATTTTGATTGTTGCTTATTCATTCAATCGTTTCCGACTCTTCATGACTGCATGGAGCAGCCCAGAATATCAAGGCACATATTGGGGGAGATGCATACCTGTCCGGACACATCTCCCCCTATTAAGATCCTCCGGAGAGGCCCTGCTCTCCGTCCCACCATTGTCACAGGCGCGATTGGTGGGAATGAGAGACAGGGCCTTCTTGGTGATTGCCCCCTGGCTATGGAACTCCCTTCCTGGTGAGATCAGATCGGCCTCCTCCCTCTTGTCCTTCAGAAGGATGGTAAAAACTTGGCAGTGGGACCAAGCTTACGGGACAATAAAGCAGCAATAGGAAAGATTACCAGGCTAATTAGATTTGACACAGATGATCAGGATGGTTTAAAATGGTGTATTTTAATATTGAGATAATTTTTTATTGTTTATGTATGTGTATATGAATTCTTGTCCCAGCATTGAATATTTGCCGTATATATGCTGTGCTCCACCCTGAGTCCCCTTTGGGGTGAGAAGAGTGGAACATAAATGTTTTAAATAAATAAATAAAATCTCACCATATCTGCTTACAACTGGGTTATTTGAGTCCACACTGCCATATATTCTGATTCAAAGCAGATAATATGGGATTTTATTCAGCAGTGTGGAAGGGGCCTGAGTTTTCACCTCCGTGCTTGTTATTGCTTTCTCATCATGATCAGTATCTAGGCTGGTAAACATTATTTTGTTTAGGGTGAGTGACTTGAATGAAGAGCCCTGGGAGCATGCTGTTGCCTCCTTTTTTTTCCATGTCCAAACAGGGTGGCCGTTATCCCCATGCATGCATGCATTATTCATGCCTAACTACTGTGGCATAATAAAACACCATCCTATTGTTCACACTATCCAGCCAAGTCAAGTGGCTTTTGTTCCATCCGCGTCTTGCCCATGAATAGTTTCTAATATACCTTGCCTCATGAACTGTGCTATCCGTTCATTCTCTGCTCTCTTCATGGAAAAGGAGGCAAGCTCCCCAGATTAAAAACTCTCCTGTAGATTTACAATGAGGGTTCCTGCTTAGAAGTTGGTGATGTCTTAAATTATATTACAATTTTTCTCTCTCTTTCTCCCTTTCTTCTCCCTCCCTCCTATCGCTCTCTCTCTCTTTCTCTTTTTGGTTAAAGCTGTGGCGTCTGATGATAAAAAGGAAGAATTGCTGAGGTTCCTGCCAGGCGAGCTGTCGAATGAAGTATCTACCTATAACCCCAGCTGAGGAAGTAAGTGACAGGAGGAGCACAGCGGAAAGACCAACATAGGGACATCAATAAAAGAAATAGAAAGGTATGGTACAGTACTATTTTTATAGCATATACAATCATACTCCACATTTCTCCTTTTCCCAGAGGACTATTTGCTAGAAAAAAAATAAGTAACAAAAATAAACATATACATTAACTTTGGAAATAACTTGAAGGGTTTCTTTTAAAATGTTTCTTAACTTTCATTCCTCCTGTTGCATGTTCATTCAAATTTGAATACACTAGGATTTCTCCTAGGAAAGTGTGTACAGTATTGCATCTTTAAATATTCCAAATATGTGCATCTTCAAAAATTCTAAAGATTGTGGGAACATAAACATACAATTTTAAAAATCCATTCTTTCCTTGGAAAATAAAACGTGAGGGAAAAAATAAATCTTTTCATGATTGACTATGATATATTACTTGGTAAAACTCTTGGAGTTTCACTTTCTATGATCATTTAATACTCTGTAGGGTTGGAATTTATATACGGAAAAGTGCATTATAGTCTGTTTTATACTAACATATTTTAAACTATTTGCAAACATTTGAAAATGTAAGTATAGAATTTTTTTTAAATTAAATTATCAGAAGAAACCCCATGTTACAGTAATTTGAGGTCTATAGGAAAGATGCCATAGTATTCTAGGAGGCTGAATAAGAATTAAGTTAGGTATGTCTGAGTTTTATACCGCGGATAAAGAAAGCTTGTAGTTTTCTCATTGCTGGACTGCACATACAATTCTCTTTTTCAATTGAAAATGCTGATTAGGGCAATAGGAAACTGTAGGCCAAGACCATCTGGAAGGCCACACATTCCCTGTTTCTGTTTTATACAAATATGGATAGGTAGTAACTAATTAAAATCAATTAATTTATCAATTACGTGAAACGTTTTCTGACATACAATGTCAAGTTATTTTTAAAACCTGATTGACATAAGTTGGACTTTAATTTCACTCATTTCCTGAAAAAACAATAAATCCTACATTTTCCAACTGAGTTCCCTCTGGGAGATAGGGCGGGTTATAAATAAAGTATTATTATGGGAAGCATCACCGCAAGGCCGAAACGTGCGGGGCAACAGATTTGCCCTGCTGCCCCTTTTGTCTGGCACTGAAGCCAGGGGAAGCGGGGCACTTCACCTGACCTTTGTGATGAGGTGAATAGAGACAATTTTATTATGTGGGAGTTGGGTCATTTTATTTATTTATTTATTTATTTATTTATTTATTTTGCGCATTTCTACCCCGCCCTTCTCAACCCCCAAGGGGGGACTCAGGGCAGCTTACAAAAGGCACAATTTGATGCCAACAATACAGATAATAACATAAAATATATATCAACAACAATTAAAAAATTAAAAATAATCCAGTTATACATCATAACTAATAAAAACCAATCTAATGATCAATGCTCAGAAATTGAACTTTTCACCATAAAATTTTACTTGCATTTTGTTTTCTGGTTAAAAATAGCTCCCTCCTAAGTCTAAAATGGGAAACATGGGTCAAGGGGGAAATATCTAGGCAATTTAAAAAGAAGAAAATTTGAGTGGAGGCATTGCATGGGTGGCAGTCCATAGGTGGGACCAAATCCCTAACCCTTGACAATTGTGTTCAAAAGGGGACCTTCTCCCCCACCTCCACCCCCGTTTCCAATTTCTGGAATTATTTCTTATATGCTTATTCGCCAAGTTAAAACATCGTCCAACTCAGTCTGCACATTGTGATCCAATAACTTTAGCCTTTCCTAGCAAAGACAGTGAACCTATGTAGAGATGGGGTGAGAAACAGAAATTCAGAGCTACGGTGAGCTCAACTTGGCCGGGGAAGAAGGAAGATCAACCAGCCTTTTCAGTTTTATTCCTACTTTTCCCCCTTTCCTTTTGCTGTTTTCATCCCTACTATATTTTAGTATGAGCCAAATTTACAACACTGGTTCCAAGGTTCCTTTGATTCCATCATAGCATTTCTCTCATTCTGAGGTCATGACTTTGGGTTTAGCTTGCGTCACCAACACCAAATACTACAGGCCATATGGAAGGAGACTTCTTTGCAAATCTTTTATGAGGAGAAGCACTTCTTTTGGAGCCTAAATCTTGCTAATGGAACAATGTACTGAGAAGACACACTGCAACAGTGATCATACTCCTAACATAACATCAGAAGGTCCCTAAATCCCTGAAACATGTAAGACCAATCCAGAGCTTCTTATTTACATGAACACTATGCATGATATGAAGATCCTCTCTGCCAATGTGTGATATTAATTCAGACTGATCTCCATTGAGGTAGGGATAGAAGTGTAGGAATTAGCTCCAAAAGCACACTGTTCTGATGCCAGCATTCAACTCATAGGAGTTCACTTTGTTGTTGTAGCTGCTGCTGTTGTTTTAAACTATTAATTCCCTCGAGTCTAGCTATTTTAATGTTTACCTGTATTTGGAAGTACATTAGCAAAACAATCCACAGGGAGTTTTCCTTTCCAAGACCTTCATTGTCAATGTGGGTGGATTTTGCAAGAACAGATGCCCCCTTATTGCATTCTTCGTGTGCTTAACTACTCTTTATTGCATTGGGGACTGGAAACAAAAATATCTGAATTGCATTATATTGTACAACAGCAGTTGGAAGAGAGTGTTGACTTCCACTGTGGATTTAGATTGATTGCAATGACACAGAAACTCCCCCATCTTGCATTTTCAGTATAAAGAATTCTTTAGCTCGCTTAACATCAAAGTGCTTCGTCCAAATAAATATCTGAGTGTTATTTTATCTTGGGGCATGCCTTGTTATGTAGGATATAATCAGACTGATATGGTATTGCATATGGAAGTGTGCCTGTTCTTTTGAAATGTGCCTCATAGCAAAAGAAAAGAGGGATATATAACAACGCATGTATTTCTTTGAAGAGAGAGGCAAATTACAATGGCTCAATGGAGCCCTGCTATGCTAATTAAATGTTAGGCTCTACTCTAATCTTGAAATATTGAATAAATATAAAACTATGTGGGAAAAAAGTTTTGCTTTCTTGAGAACTCATTTTTAGATCTGAATGCCCTTTTTAACATTATTTTTTACACTTTCCCATTCAGCTGTTGGCAGAGCTTCAGCGTTACTACTTACGAATAATTCATTACTTACAATTAATTTATTTTCCTCCCAAAAAAGGTATAGTAAACGTACATTAAAATTCCAAATCACTGTAGCTTTTAAGTTACTTTCATAGTTGCGTGAAGTATCACTAAAACATCATGAAGAAAAATCACACTGCTCATGCAGTGTCTTGTGTCTGTTGTGCATGCCCTGTTATGACAACTATAGTTCTGTTTCTATGTACAGGGCCCATTCCGGAGAGTGGCCATTTTCATCAGAAGATACAAAAAAATTAAAACAAGGTTCAGGAATCAAAATATTAAAAGCTAATTAAAACATGCAACCATAAATATGGATGCATAGAGAGAGGGAGCGGGAATGAGAGGGAGAACAACACAACAATTAGCAAGATCTGATGCATTGTTTAGGTGTTGTTGTTTATTTGTTCAGTTGCTTCTGACTCTTTGTGACTTCATGGACCAACCCATGCCAGAGCTCCCTGTTGGCCATCACCACCCCCAGCTCCTTCAGAGTCAAGCCAGTCACTTCAAGGATACCATCCATCCATCTTGCCGTTGGTCGGCCCCTCTTCCTTTTTCCTTCCATTTCCCCCAGCATCACTGTCTTCTCTAAGCTTTCCTGTCTCCTCATGATGTGGCCAAAGTACTTCATCTTTGCCTCTAATATCCTTCCCTCCAATGAGCAGTTGGGCTTTATTTCCTGAAGTATGGACTGGTTGGATCTTCCGGCGGTCCAAGGCACTCTCAGAATTTTCTTCCAACACCACCGTTCAAAAGCGCCTATCTTACTTTGCTCAGCCTTCCTTATGGTCCATGGGGAATACCATTGCTTTAACTATGCAGATCTTCATTGTTTAGGTGAGATGGGTCTTGTACAGTCACTCATCAAATAAGTGACAAAAGGGAAAAGTCTTTTTCTCTGAAAAGAAAATAGAGGGTGCCTGTCTCATTCCTCTGGAAAATGACTTCCAGAGTCAGGGAGCAGCCACTGAGGCAGCTTCTCTTGCATTTCCACCAAATGTACCCACGGGGATGGTAGAACAGTCAGCACTCTCCCCCCCCCCCCCCCCCCAGCCCACCCCACCCCAAATGCTTACAAAATACATGCAGCCTCATATAGGGAGTCATGGTCCTTCAAATAATCTACACCTGAGCCATGCCACATCCAGAACCTTGAACTGTATCCAAAACCAGACAGCAACCAAAGGAGCTGTTGAAACAAAAGTTAAAATTGAAAAATAGTATAATAAAAAGAACGGGCAGCTCATCTTAGAAACCATTTTAAAATAATGGAAGCTCAAAGAAAATTGTGACATTTTCTGTCTACTCTTTCATGTCTGGATCTTTACCTGTGTCTCTGTTTTAAGCAACCCTCAACGATTCAATATGATGAAGAGAGTTTTAATGCAGTTCACAAAGATCATTTGAGTCATGAATTCATGCACTCTTAATTAAACTGATCTTTATGCTGATGGCATTAACATCACTGAAACAAGGATAAGAAGCTTGTCTGTCTTTCATGGCCATTCTACATATGCAGTAACACCTGGAAGTAACTGCGATAAAGGAGGGGTGTGGCAAAGTGACATTTGGGAAAAGTGCGGGCAGAATTGGGTTAACAGCTGAAAAGCAGGTGTTTAAAAGCTGAGCTTTAAACCCAATTCCACCAAACAAACGTGCACCTTCACATGACTGTATATATCTGCAGTCATGAAAAAAGTGCCCTCCTTCCCATCCCTCATGTAGACTACTCCAGCACACATGTTTTAAAAACCCAAAACAGCTGATTGGGCTTTCAAGAAAATTTGCCACAGGCATACAGGTGGCTCAAGGAAAGAACAGTTGGAAAGCAATTAGTATTCTCTACAACCTTTCCTTTCTTTTGTATAATATTAAACAAATATTGAATTAACAGCTGGGTG